TATTATCATGGTTTATTAGAGGATGAATTGGGTGAGACATGAGGCTTCACTAAATGTATGGGTTTATATAACCTAATATGATTGATGTAGTTTGAGAGGTGATCCATCCATGAACATTTTCATTTAGAATGGGCCAGAGGCTCACACAACCTAACATGAATACGATAATGACGAAATATAGTTGTGCAGTAATATTTTTGAAACGTGATGTCCCATGAATACACGCTTGTTTATTATATAACATAGATAACGGTTAGAAATAATAATGGTTCCACCAGTTTAAAAGGCATAGTAGTATTCCAAAAATGTAGCTTAAAAATTATGGTTGTTTTAATATCCAATATTATTGTGAAGTGAGTGTAGCTTAACTGGTTATGTTCCTTATGATGGAACATACCCACCCGGATTCAAGTCTTAGACTTGACACGGGAGCTCACATTTACGGCTAATTATTCCATCAATGCTGACATATCCGTTGGCAACGAGACGCTCGTAGTGATTTCGTCGATCACAAGATATGTCGGCCCAGTCTTTAGGAGATATTTATAGGGGTAGGATGTGTGTGTGCATGTTTATAGAGGTGAGTGTGCGCGTGTTGTGAGCGCCTGCAATTGTATTATAGATTATTTCTCTCTGTGTGTTTTCATAAGGGTGAGTGTGCGTGCATTCAGAGCGCATGCGTTGTATAGTCTTTCTTAAAAAAACGAATATTACTGATTGTTTCTCTTTTAGTTTAATAGCTAAAAAATAGGGAGGGGACGGACGATGTTTTGTGCATGTGAGGGTGGGGAGGAGGTGGAGGAGATTTTATTCTTCTAATTTTTCTATATTATTTAAGTCAAATCCGATGATGCGGTGTTTTATTTTTTCTAATAATTCCAAAGATTCTTTCCCTTTTTATAGGAGGTGACACATGGCGACCTAAGATTTTCTTAAAAATAGATCCAATAGTTAAAAATAATAGATACAATAATTCAATTGGATTTTTTTTAGAATATTAGGATATGATACACAATGTGTTGTGAGCGTTCTGGAGGACGTTTATTGATTTTTGTTATGTACAATCATTTAGTACAACGTGTTACATATTTTCAATTAATTTTTCGTTGTTATTTAATTGGCATGCAAACGATAGTGTGTACCTTCAAATGATGTATTTTTAATTTTGTATAGTAAAATATAGCTAATGAGATCTTGATTTATTTATTTATTTATAAAATAAAACAATAGCTATAACTTTTTATATTATGTTAAACAAAATAGAAGATGGGATAATTGAGCTGGAGAGGAGAGGATGGGAGAGTCAGAGAGGGAGGAGGGTCAGAGGTATATGTAAGGAAAGATGATACGAGGAGATTATTGTTTTTCAAGATAGATCGAATGGATCCTATAAATACAATTTATCTTACGGCTATTAGAAATACTTTGGGTATCGTATTTTCTAATTAAACTACTTAATTTTTTCTAATCTAAGTGCATGTTATTAATCAGAAGGTTTAAAAATCTATTTGATTTTTTCTTAAAAATATATGGATGAGTGAACAATATATAGTCAGTAGAATATATATGTCCCAAAGTAATGAATTTCTATAATAATATTAGCTATATGATTTTAATAATATATGTCCCAAACTTGGATCTTCAACCTTAAAATATATTATAGTAAATAATCTAATGGAGTGTACCAATAAAAAATTAGCTATATGATTTAGATAATACAGTTGTTTAAATTTTGTTATCATAAAATATTTTTTCCGTCTATCTAAAAGAAGAAAATAGGAGAGAAAGGAAAAAGGTTTGGAGGTATGCATGCACGTACGTACTGGACGGGCGGGGATGAGATATGCGGGCCTTTTTTTTTGTCCTTTTCTTTTTGGCTAAATAAATACAATGACAAAAAATAATTGGTAAAAAATATATTTTCCACCTTTCTAAAAGAGGAAAATAGGAGAGAAAGGAAATAGGTGGTATTCCTTTTTTACTTGGACAAATAATTTAATAGTAGAAAACAATGGGTCCATCGTATATTACAGAAAATCGATGGCCAAATGTTTTATTTATTCTCAAATTTTTTGTGATTTTTCTAATTTATTAAAATGTCATGTGGCGACGTAGGAGCATTTGTAGGAGTGATACGTGGTGTCCTGAGTACGTTTGTAGGATGTTTAATGGACTATCAATATATAATAGATGATATTAACAGGAAGCGGGCTAAGGTATAAAATAACATATCCATAAATTTAAATATAGTGCTACGTGAGATTATACAGTGCCACGTGATGGCCTAAGAGCGCTTATCGAAGCACCACATGGCTATATTTGTAGAGTAATAAATTTTATTGTTTATAGTATAGAAGATGATATTTTAAAAAACCGTCTATTTTTTTTCCGATGGTTATAACATCGTACATATATTTTCCATTAGGGCTTTATAGCATGTTCCTTTGTATTTTTCCATCAAGTGAGCAGTTTATCAATGTTTGTTTTTTCTCTATAGGTTTTTTTATCGTACACACGTACGTTCTTTGTTTGTTTTTTAATTTACAGTACCTAAAGTTTCATATACGTATGTAAGTACTTTCATACGTACACGTATGTAAGTATTTCCATAGTACGTAATTATTTTCATGTATACAGTATTTTCGATAAATTGCTCGCGGATATAGAAAGCATAAACTTTTTAAATAGATCTAATCCGACGGTATAAAATAATGGGTCCACCGATTTAAATGGAAATCGATGGTGGGATTATAGAATGCCACATGGTGGCCTAGGAACGCTTGTAAAAGCGCCATGTGGCGGCTTCGAAGCGTTTATAGGATGCTTAATGGACTTTTAGTATATAATAGATCCCTGATACTTTGCCGTCGTTTGCTCTACAACTTATAAGCTGCTATCAAAATTTAAATTTCAACATAATTATGGAGTTGATTTTAAGATTTTCTTCATTGTACCTTATTTTTCAACTTTAGCTTTTTCAATCGCTAAGGGTACGTATATAAATTTTTTTACTCGTAAATTAGATTATTGTTGTTGATAAGTTGTACAGCTTTATAATCAGCATTAGGCTACGAAGGACAACATCATGGGTTGAGAAGAAACATAGCAACATTTTCAATACTTTTTTTACAAAAATAAATACATTATCAAAATAAACTTGAAATTAGATCTACTAACACTAATTTGGCAAAGTGCGTGTAACGCAACTGGTTAGATTCCTTATGGTGAAACATGTCTACCCGACTGCATATCCTGGATTTGGTATGGATACTATTATTTATAGCTAATTATTCTTTTAATGATAAGCGACGTATCCCTCGATATTGAGGCATCTATGATGATGTTGTGAGTCTTAAGATATGATGGCCTAGTCTTAGAAGATGCTCATAGCTGAAAAATAATAATTTGGTGTTATAGATGATGCTACTTTTTCCATCAGTATAGTCAAACTTAAGAAAGTTTGAGTTAAAATAAAAGCCAAAATGTGTTATGATATGAGAGAGAGATAGAGGGGATAATATGTTTGTTTTTTTTCGGATAATACTTTTGAGCCAATCCTAAGCTAAAATATACTAGTACCCATGTGAAGTAGCATTAGCTTGTAAGAGCAGGTACAATAGCAGACTATAAGTCAGCTATAAACATATTTTAAGAAGATAAAAGAGAAGAGATAAGAGCAGTGGCTAGAGATTTCTAGCCAGGTGCAGCACAGACTTCAAGATGCAATGTATATATGACAGGTGATATCAGATATTAGTAGTGCAGTAAGTAACTATTATATGAATTGGCTATTAAATTGACTATAAATGATTTGGGGTTAGTAGTCACCGGTGGAGAAACCATTTATACTCCCGGTTGGTAACCCCCTTTAGTCCCGGTTTTCCAACCAGGCCTAAAGATGAAACCGGGACTAGCAATCCATCTTTAGTCCCCGTTGAAATAACCAGGACTAAAGATCCAGACTAAAGATGGAACCGGGACTAGCACTCCGGGACTTTAGTCCCAGTTGAAATAACCGGGACTAAAGATCTAGTTGGTAACACCAACCAGGACTAAAGATGAGAGGGTAGCGGCAGTCCCGTTAGGTCTCCTTTTTCTTTTTTTTTTCATTGTTTTTTTAGGCGGAGTTTAATCCCTGTATTTTCTCACAAATCGAGTGAGATGCATACTCCCAAATCAAACAAACATCCCAAAACATTCACATCACAAATCTTAAGTTACTTGTACACACAAATCAAATACATCACAAATCTTAAAAAAATACACACAAACCAAATACATCACATATTATACATCTCAGATCCATACAACAAATCACAAAATTATACATCTCAGTGAATCACAAATTGTAAAAAAAAAAGAAAAAAGAATAGATACCGGTAGCGCCGCCTACCGCCGCTCGCTACTCGGCCCGTGTGCGGCCGCCTGCTGCGTGCGGCCCCGCCAGGCGCAGCCTTGGCGAGCATGGCCCCGTCAGCCGCCTGACGCGTGCGGGAAGGGAGGAGGGGGAGGAGGCGGCCCTAGCTGGGCATCGGATGGGAAGGGAGGAGGGGGAGGAGAGGGCCGGGATGGGAGGAGGAAGGGGAGGAGGGGGAGGAGAGGGAGATGGATCTGAGCAGAGGAGAGGCCGGTTGTTAAGGAGATTGAGGCCGGTTGTAGGGGTGATGATAGGGAATAGGGATAATATACTACGCGTGGGAGTAAAGATCTAGGAGATCTTTAGTCCCGATTGGTACCAACCGGAACTAAAGTGGTGATCTTTAGTCCCGGTTTGTGACATCAACCGGGACTAAAGATTCCCGCCCCTCTGACAAGGGACTGACAGGATATAAACCGGGACTAAAGATCACTTTATTCCCGGGACTAAAGATCGTAGAATGGCTGTGGATTTTAAACCGGGACTTAGTCCCGGTTCTTTTTTAACCATAACTATTGTGGTTTTGGGGCGACCGAGCAAAGATCAGTTTTCCAGTAGTGAGTTGACTATACTATTAAACTTGCTCTAAGCAGGGCCAGCTCCACGACCATAGACGGCGATCCCTCTATCGCTCATTTCCTAGGTGCGGGCAGCAGAGTCAGCTGGTGGCCGCCAATCAAACGACGATGACGGGCATGGCCATGGGCACTGCAGAAGCAGTAGTAATTCCGGTCGAAGAGGAGTTGAAGAGAGCAGCCGAAAAGGTTGAGGCTAACTTCACCGAGAACAAGACCAAGATCCACAGGTTCCCAGCAAACCTGCGCGGCGTTACCAAAGAAGGCCGATATTTGGTACCGAGCGCAGTAGCCATCGGCCCTTACCACCACGATTTACCGCACCTGCAGGAGGCGGAGGAGGTGAAGCGAGCGGCTGCCTACTACTTCTGGAGGGACTGGGGGGACTCGGCTCAGGGGGCTGATCCGCCGCAGTCGGCTGAGGCGGCCTACGAGAAAATCCTCTCCGTTGCAGGCAACGTGCGAAGCTGCTATGTTGGTGACACGGCGGCAGGTATGAGCTGTGAGGCCGACTTTGCAGCTATGATGTTCCGGGATGGCTGTTTCTTGCTGCAGTTTATGATTTTCATCCGTAGCAGTCCAGGTGGGCTAGTTGCTCCGTCATTGCAAGGTTGGTTCAACTCCAAACTAGCCAGCATCCTGCGGGACATCTTTCTGATGGAGAACCAGATCCCATGGCTGGTGCTTCAGACCCTCATGTCCTTCAAGCCAGCGCTGGACGTGGAGGATTTTATCGCTCGAGCAGGTTTGGGATTCGAGGCCCGGTTAGACCTAGTTAAAAGGCCTCTCGTCCTCAACGGCAGCTACACACCAGCGCATCTCCTCGGTCTCCTCCGTTACTACCAATGTGGGAGCATCCCTATCGGAAGGACGGACCTCCACCTCCCTGAAGGCGTCACGTCACTGCCACAGTCTAGCAGTGCCATCGAGCTTGCAGAGATCGGCATCCAGCTTGTGGCCAACGACACGTCACAGCTCAAGGACATGGGCATCTACGAAGGAGCCCCTCGCCTGTTCGGGGGAATTTTCCTAGCGCCACTGGTCATCGATGACCTCAAGGCGTGCTGGCTTGTCAACATGGTGGCTCTTGAGGCCTCCATCACCACTGGCTTGGGTGATGAAGATATCGTCAGCTCCTACGTTCTTCTGCTCGCGATGCTCATGAACCGTGAGGAGGACGTACACGAGCTGCGAGCCAAGGGACTCGTACGCGGCGGGTTCTCTGATCTTGAGACGCTCGAGTTCTTCAAGAACCTCGTCAAGCAGCTCTTCGTCGGACTTGACTACTTCCGCATCTTAGCGGAGCTTGAGGCCTACAGGCGTAAGAGGCGGCTGTTGATCCCAGTACACAAGTTCGTCTACAACAACTTCAAAGCCATCGTCACGGTGTTCTCTGTTATCGGTGTGCTCGTCGGTATCTTCAAAGCACTTATCTCTATCAAGCAACACCAGCAGTAGCTAAGATATATCGATCGCAAGTGGCTGACTTTCATCCCTAAAGCGGACTTTCATCCATATGCATACAATTTGTCTCCAACATATTCAGGTTTTATTTCTTGCTATGTTAGTACTGTTGCAGAACTACGTACTCCCTCCGTATAAAAATACAAGGCATATATAGTAGTTTGCAATCTGTTAGACCAGTAAAACTTGTTCTTTACTAAAATACCATAATTAATATATAATAAATTGTGTTTCGAGTATAACAAATTGATATATATGTGGATACAATGCATTACAATAACTTGAAAAAATGAGCATACGAACGAAACAACATGACTGCCATGTGCGTTTTGGTCCAAAATAAGTGCCACCTAGGATTTATATTGTTTTCTTGTTCCTAAAAATTACTACCATACACTGCTGCAAAAGAGAACTTTAAAAATTACTACCATACACTGCTGCAAAAGAGAACTTTAGTCCCGATTTGCAACGCTTTTAGTCCCGGGTTACTAACCGGGACCCAGAATCCGGGACCAAAAGATACCCATCTTTAGTCCCGGTTGGTAACACTAACAGGGACTAGAGTTATTTTTTTTCTTACTTTTCGCTGCTGGTTTTTAAGTTGCTCCGGAAAGGTCCACTCATCATCATACAAAACTATACGCTGCAATGAAGCATTTTAATTTGCAAACTGAACAACAATATTCAGTCAAACTTCACACCGACAGCAATACATTTGCTCTCTCTCTAATCCAAATTCCAAATTATAAATTCAAAGATCTACAAATTCCAAATTCGAATGGACCTTATCCAAATTCAAAGATCTCCAAATTCCAAATTCCAAATTCACATTGACCTCATCGTCGGCAAGGTGCTCGATAACTGCTTCCCCTTGGACCTGCTCCTCCCGCTCCCGCTCCCCTCCCCGTGCTGCCCCAACCTCCGTGATGTGGCCTTCACAGACGACTGCTTCTGCACGCTCCGGCCTCTTCCCCTGGCGCCGCCGGCTTCGAGCTTGGCGCGCGACACGGCGCCGTCGGCAGACGACCGCTTCCACGCGCTCCGGCCCCCACCGTTGAGGGGCAGAGAGAATAGCCGCCCGCCACCGTCGCGCGCTTCCATCGCCAGTAGAAGGAGAGGAGAGAGGAGGAGGCGTAGAGAGGCGGAGAGAGGGAGAGAGGAAGTGGCGAGAGGGAGAGAGGAGGCGGCGGATAATGCCGGGGATTGAGGGAGAGAGAGATAGAGATAAAGGAAGACGCGCTCTCGATCGCGGTTCGGCTCTTTTTTCAGTCTTGATCATGACTTTCTCTCAAATCACTAACGTGGTTTGATCTGTGGATCCTCACCGAGGCATATTTTGTTGAATCGTCCATATTCTAAAAGGCTATATATGTGGAGCTCGGTAGGGATCAATCAGGGTATATGTATATGTGTATGTGGATGGAAAAAGAAAAATATAACAACTCATTTCGGTATACATCCTCCTTCATATTTCTCTCTTTAGAAAATTGGGAAAGTACATGGCTATCTTTATTTGTATGAGCAAGATTGTGTTTTCTCTTTTTTTTTATCAATGCTCCATATTTGTATGAGCAAGACTTTATTTTTCCTTCTTTTGCATAGCCATGCCTCTCTCTTTTTTTTCCTTGAAAGAATTTTGGAGCAAGAGGCATAAATAAGATGGAGTATTTATTTTATGGATAACGGATATAATAAATGATGGATGAGGGATGCTAGTTTCCAATGTAGAAGTTTAGCATAAGTGTGTGCATGTGGAGTGTGTGTGTGATCTTGATCATGAAAATATGAAAAACATCTCACGCGGGTCATAATACTTTGACAAAGCTCAATGTAATGACAAGCAGCCTAGATATATATAAAGTTTTTCAATGAAAATCATATATCGCCTTGGTAGGAAATAATGTAGTCATTGAAGTATTGCTCGAAAAATTTTAATTTTCACAAAGATAAAATCTCAAGTATCATGATAGTTGGACCAGAATTTCTTTTGTCATAACCATATCACAATTATAAATTATATAGATGAGCAAGGTTCCTTATGATAGAAGTGTGTTCACAAGTGACCAGTGTTAGCAAAGAATAAAAGGTATACATGATCAATCATAGGAAAATTTTATTTCTTGAGAGTTGTTGTTTTCAATTTTCATTTGGAGTCAAACTAAATTGTATTCCATTTTTCTACCAAAGTTTAACTCACAAACAAGGGAGGATAAGGAAGGAGACGCGCAGACCTGACCACACGACGATGTGGTGGCAGAGCCGGGCCAGGCAGGGATGAAGCGAACACTTGGTTCAGCCGTCCCATCAAGGACTCGGTTCTGGCTACTAAATTTTGTGTGCGGTCGTGGACCTGTGTTCATCATATTGACATGTTAAGTTGATGCCATTGCGCGTCGAGACTTCCGAAAAGACTCCCCCACACTTGTTTTGTACTTGGTCTTTATTCAACAAAAACATAGAAAGCAAAATGGCTTCCACCGGGGTGAAACACAGGCACGCCTTTATTTTATTAAGTAACTCTACGCACAAGAAGTGCCTAAATTTACTTTTATTTCATTTTATTTTGCCTTTTTATCTCATGGCAACAATGGAGGTTATGGGTAACTTAGAAGGGTAGAGATAGAGGATGCATAAAGTGTTTGGGGTTCTTACCTGATAGGTCTTATCAAGCTTTGAACCAAATGCAAGGGTTAATGCAACAAAGTTTTGCATTTGTTCTGCTTGGTTCCCTGAGCATCTATTTTCCTATAAGACCAAGAAGCGTGGTATTGGTGTTGGAGTTATTGTACACTGCTCCTTAGTTGTCACTTTATTCCCGTTCACCTTGAGAGGTGATAGGTTTCTCCTTAGCAATTGATTTGTTCCCGACCCTGACCTACCTCTAGTGTGACTTGAACTTGAGCACTGACCCGTCAATTTGAAAAATTTTCTATAGGGGTTAGTCCACGAAGGACATACATCCGAAGTCCATAAAAGTACCCGCTCTACGGTGCATTGACACCACGTCAAAATTGATTAAGGCGGACTATTTAACCTAAGCATCATGGTTAACTTGAAAAGCCTATGAATGCCTGTAGCACACTCAAACCAGAGCATACGAAAATAGACAAAGGAAGCATAACCATGTATGATCAAGAGATATTCACATGGTTGTACTATTGAGTAAAGGTTTGGCGAACCTTGTTTTATCTTTGTATACTTGAGTGTACTTACCTGCCAGCATGATGGATATATTGGAATCTCTCGGGCAGTGACATGGTCACATATGATTATGGATCTCTCCTCCATCTTGATGCGGATTGTAGCGGAGGAAGGCACATGACCATGCCAACTTAGGCGAGCAGTTTGGTTATCCACGCACCTCAGGTGCAAGAACCTTGTGCCTTGAAGGCACGAACCGTTGGCACAATACTGTAGAGATATAGCATGCTTATCTTTTTAGGCAATGTGCAAGTGCCAACTGGAGTGGAGCAGCAAACACCAGAAAAGAAGAGGGCATCTCCTCCTGCAGTATTGGTGCTACGGGAGCAAGAAGTTGTGCACGGGTAGGAGTAGATGAAGGCTAAACCAAAGCGGCACATGAGCTCAAGAGAGGGGTTGGGTGAAGCCAGGTAGCATGATCACTACTAGTCAGGTGTATAGCCATATTTTAAAGGCACTCACATAATGCGGTCTTTGATCTAAATGTAGCTCGTCAGGTCTCTTGCTCTTTTCTTCTTCTCTCATCCTTTTTATTCTTTTCTTCCATCTCTCTTTTTTTTCTTTTTATTTTAGCATGGTAAGACTAACACCAACTTGAAACCAAGATGGCCTTGGTTGATGGAACTCGTCATGCCAAGCTCGTTGGCCTTCCCCCTGTTGGTATTTATGAACATCACAGATACCGCAAGCGCACGGATAATACCGATGTAGCACTTCAACTGGGAGTATTCCAAGGTATCGATTTCCTTAGGGAACGTGTGTGTTCAGCTCCTCTTCAAGTTCATCCAAGGACACGAACCAAAAGTAGGCAAAGGGTAGAGAGGATTTCGTAGTGAGAAACAGTGTCTATGAAAAGCTCAGTTTAATCCTAACGTGATACTTCAGGCATTGGCCAGCCCGCTGCTCCCAGATGTCGCTCTACTGTGTACCTGGACATGGAGGACTTTAATGTATTTGAGGGCTGTCACCACCTCTACACCCACCTCAAACCTACTGTGGGATATGAAGCTACCACCAGAAATTAATTACCCAGACACCGCGTCTACACAATTAATAACTACTTTAGCAAACAATGATCCCGCACGCTACTTAGGAACTAACCAAGAATTAAATCTCACCGAGCAAATCTTAATTACTTAGAATGATATTTCTATTAATACGGAGTAATGAACAAAGTATAAGAAATAGAAGAGGATTACTGACAACTCTGGAATTCCTCCGACTTCTTCTACTCTACTCTCTACCTAATTCTAGTATTAAATAAAGTACAATAGAGCCTCTTATAATTCAGCTCAAGCTTGGAGTGTGTGTGACAAGTGAAGTGATGAACTCCTTTTATAGACAGGTATGACGGTTACTGCTATGCGAATTGTCGAAAATGCCCCGCAACCGCCATCCGGAGAGCATCTGGAGCATCCATGCCAAACCCTAGCTCGAATGGCAGAAACTGGGGTTCGGTCGAACCCTGGCTTGGTCCAAAAGGCGTAGAACATGGCCTGTGTCTCTCCCTCAGCCTGCCTTATCCATTTCTCAGGTAGTTGGATCCATTTTTTGATGTTTCGATAAAGTTTAAGGCCCACTCTTGTATGGATAGAATTCTTCCTTCACTTTAGACTGGATTTCATCCCAACTTTAACGGTTGATTAACTGGATCCAAATATACACCAACACTCATGAAATACGTTAGAATTAAACCCTACCAATATGTTGGATGTATTATTAATTATGTTTTATGTAGGTATTGGCGGCATAGAATTGGCATTTAACAGCAGCCAACACCCCCACACTTAGACTTTTGTGTCGCAAGACATCAAAAATCAAGTGCATGATGTCGAAGTCTTCTATAGAGTGTGTTCTAATACCAAGGAACATCAAAGTGTACAGTTGATGTAGCTAC